TATTTAAAAATTATTGGTTGGTTGAACATGCTCAAAAAGTTAAATTGATATATTATTCAAAAGGGCATTTTATTAATGAATTATTATCAGCTTTATTTGTTAATGTAATCACAATGTTTTTGATTGTTTGTTTAATTCTGTGATTTTAATAATTATTCTGATTTGTTTTTGAATTGAACTAAGATAAAAACACTTTAAGCATAACTATTCAATGTTTTGAAATGCTTAAGAGCAATATTGTATAATAATTGTTGCATTGTAAACTTGGGCCATAAAGTCCGACACGTTAAAACAGTATTTTTTTTCTTTTGTTTTTCGGGACAGGGTCGGCCAAGATCCAGTTTTTAAACAACTTCGTGGCAATCTCTAATACGTGTCAGTTCATTTTAAGTTTTAGCATATTGTCAACAAAAAACTTAAAAAGTTTTTTAGAGTTAAAATGTTTTTAAAAATTGGTAAAACTATAGTTAACGATTTAAACAAAATTTCTGTATTGTTTAAATCATCATTACAATGTGTTATAATCCAGTTTTAAAGAACAACAATTGAACAGTAAAAAGTATATGATATTATGGGATGCAGAGTTTTTAAAATCAAATAACAATATTCACTCGTTATAATTGTAAATATACAAAGAAAATACTAACAACCAATAAAAATTATTAAAAATTTTAGTGATTTCAACATAAAAAATTTTATTTGAACAACTAATATACTTTTTCAACATACACATTAATATTAATTGTTAATGTGTATATATATGTATATTTGTCAGTTTAACAAAGGTTTTGAATCGTTCAATTGTGTCCTTTTTAAATTAAAGTATTAATTAAACAATCAAATAGAAGTATTTTCATTATCTTTTGCAATTATAAAAAACAGACAATGTATTATTTTTCGAATGAAGTCAACCATATTACTTTCAAAACAGTAAAACTTATCTTTAGTTAATTTTCTTGATAAATATGATCATTCATAATATGATAATAATCAATTAAAATAATTATTATCACCCAAATAAAAAAACATTATCAGAGCAACTTTAAATAAGTTTCATTTTGCATGTATAATTTACAATTGAAAGGTTTTAACGTACAATTATATTAACACAAAGATATATGTATATTGTTGTATTCTAAAGTAATTTGAAAATAATTTTGTGTCTAATATAAATTATCGTTTTATTTTTCTTCATTTTATCTTTTGGTATAAATAATTGTGTTTTGTCATTTTCTTTTTGTTTTTTAAAAATGATAATGTTATTTACCATTTTAATGTTTTTTAAGTTTTTTTCAATAACATGATCGTTTGGCCTACCCTGTTCGGGATATTAATATATTTTGTCGAAATTTATACCTGTTTTACTTATCATTATTTTCCCTTATTTCGATTTTTTGCGTCTTATTTTTTGATTTTTAATTTTCTACTTACACTACAATTTCCTTATTTCAAAATCATGAAATATTTTGGTTTATAAAACACGAAAAATTAATTTCATACCCAAATTTTATACAAAAATCGCAAATTTAATCAATATTATAACATTTAAAAAATGAAAATAAAATTATTTTTTTCAATTCGTTGATTTTTACAATAACAACGAAAAACACGACTTAATTATAATTCTATTATTTAATTAAATTAAAAAGTGTATCAAAATTTTATATGGAAACACATGAAATTAATTAAAACACCACAAGTAACAAAAATTTTTTATTTTCGTTATGTTGAAAATAGTAAAATATTAATTATAAAAATGTAAATATATAATAATTGATTAATTTTGTTTTTATAAATAAAATATAGGTGATTTGAAATATTAATTGGAATAAAAATACTTTTTTATAATATAATAAAAATTAACAATTATCACTTGTGTTTATTTGACTTTTATAATATTTAATCATTTCATTATTAATTTATTATAGAATTTGTTTAATAATAATATGAAAAGACAAAGCAAATTACATTATTGTTTCATGACAGAAATATAAAACAATAATGTCAGTTGTAAATAGAACACTTTTATCAATTATTGTGATTATAATAAAATGTATTATAATTATTGTTTTGTTAAACAACAATTATAATCAAAAATTCATATTTTTGTTAATGCTAAAAAACTATTTTTACATATCAAAACAAAGTGGTACTTTATTTATAATTTGTGAAAACAATGAATGTTTTAATGAACGTTTTTGTGGGATGAACAAAAAAATAATTGAAGAAAAAACACATCAAAAATAATATAAGAATTATAAATGCTCATAACATTTAGCTCATTTCCCGTTTTTCTTGACATAATTCATTAATTATTTCAATAAAATTTTTAAAAAATAGCAGAAAAACAAATCCGAAAGTCCAATACGTCGGACTTTGTGTCCGGAGTTTAAACTGCTTTCCAAAATTCTGTACCTTTTCCGAAATTGATAAAACCTTACATTGCCATTTAAATTATTTACTGTTATTTATATGTTATTTTTATTTTCACTTTATGTCGAAACAACAATGGTAAGAAGTTTCAAACCGAAAATTCAATTATCCAGGTTTATCATTTGATTAGTGATCTTTTTGTAACTAAACGTGAGTAAAACTAGATGTTTAAATCAATCATAAGATATACAACACTAATACAATAAACGAATAATGTGAAGCATGACACTATTTTGGTAAATAATATAAC